GGCCTGGCGGCCCCCGGCCCGCTCGGCGCCCACAGAATGCAGCCATCTGGCGGCTGGCGCGCCCCGGACTTGCCCCGAAGGTGGGAAAAGGAGCCTTGGAGGTTGCACGGTGGTTTCAGTCACCCGTGCTGGGGGGCGGGAGGGTCTGCGAGAACAAAGAATTACCGAGCACCCACAGATCGTTCTCATGCCCCAAGTGCTACAACAGGACTGTTTGGTTTAGGCAAGGTTAGGTAGCAGGCGACCTTTTGAAAAAAAAAAAAAAATGGCATCCCGCTAATCCTCGCAGACCCCAGTTTTGTGGATCGTGCCACAAATCACCGGGGTGGCTTCAGCTCTCAGTAAGGAAACTAATCGGCAGCGGAAAGTGATAGCTTAACTCGTCGGTAGTAGTGACATTAATAAATAGGAGCTTTATGGATGAAGTATTGAGAGTTTTACCAGAATTCCTTTAAAAGGCAAATTCCTCCTCTGCGCTGCTCCTGTAGCTTAATTTAAGGATTCTATCGATGCAAAACTGTGGTTGTCGATGCCAAAGAATGGAGGTTGGAGGAAGGGAATACTGCTTTTCTTGGATACAAATTTGCATTTCTTCAAACATTAAGCAGATGTATGCATTCCCTTGAGCTATTACACAGATTATAACCTGCCCTCAGGAAAATGTTTTCCATATGAAGTGATGGAGTGATTTTATTCTCAATGGACTAAACCTAAATGTATATACTTAGCCAGCTGTTTGGGTTACTGGTGAGGTAAGGGCCCTCAACCCCGTGCCCATTCTAAGCAATAGACACGCACATGCCCAATTCCTGTGTTTAAGTGTCCACACACTCTTTACAGCTGTAAGAGCAGTTTTGGATCTAGAAAAGGGACATGGTATGGAAAGATGATACAAATTACTTTTGAGAGTGTAACAGTGTCGGGCAGTCTTTGCTATCTGGTCCCTTTAATCCCATTTTAAAAATCACTTTAGCCCAGCGGTGGTGCCACACACATTTAATCCCAGCACTCAGGGAGGCAGAGACAGGAGGATCTCTGTGAGTTCTGAGCGAGTTCTAGGACAGTCTCCAAAGCTGCAGAGAAACCCTGTCACAAAAACAAAAAAAAAATTCAACTCAACAGCCACGTTTTTCCCCCCTGCTATTTATACTGCATTCCACGCTTGAATGGAAATCAGTATTCCTCCTTTAAGATTAACCCTGAAAGGATTTTTGTTTTGTGCCCCCCCCCATTTAATTGTTTGCTTTGAAAACAAGGACTCAGCAAATAGGAAGGTGCCCAAACAGTCACTGCTGCTGATTTTCTCAGTTATTTTTGCCTTACAGTGAGACTGACGCGCTGTCTCCGTGCAGTCTTAGTTCCCAATGATGGTGCTCCAAAACTATAAATAAGGGCCCTGTGGACTTTTTTTTCAGTGTGCCCTCTAGGCAATGCGTGTCTTTTTCCCAGCATAATGAACGATAATTTAAATGCAGTATATAGTCTGACATAAATTTTTTTCTTCCTTTTGAGTTCAAAAATTTATACACCCCTGAAACATTTAACGAAGCCATCCTCAAAAATTGAAGTTAATCAGTGGGTTATTTCTGTCCTTGGTGTTAATATTTTATGAAATTTGGATATGTGAGTTTTCTGTCTCTTGCATAATATATAATTTGGTCCCTTACTTGGAGTACTATGGTGAATATTTATTATTGAAACAAATTCAGGGTTGTGTTAGAAAGCCATTTCTGCCCTCCCCTGTAGACCCTCCATGGATTAGGTATAGGAGGTAAGATGGCCTGTGTCTCTAGTTTCAAGGACGCCTGCAGACGGCACACTTTTACTATTAAGAGATGTTTGTCTTTTAGGTTAACATTGGGCAAGGATCCACACCTTTTGCCGGGTGGTTGAGACCACCACTGACAGACAGTTCTGACGCTGTTTCATGACAGTAAGTATGCTTTGACCGTTTTGGTTAGTTCCGCCTGACAGGAAAAGATGGCTGGTGTGCTGGAGAAGGCTCCATAGTGAAACCTTCTTCCAGTCTAGACAGACAGTACCTGTGTTTATCCGCTCTGATGCTTGTCAGCTGCTGGCACGGGCCGGTTCCTCAGCACTGCTGAGACCGACCGTCTGGTAAAAGACCGTCTGCTCTCCTGCTTACGGGCTGTCTGTTCGGCTGCCGGCAGGGTTATGTGCCGACTGGAAAGGGCTGAAGAGAGGGATGCGGTTGACCTGGGAATGTCAGGAGGGGTCCTCCCGGGCTGAACGGGGTCTTACAGATGGGTGGGATTTGGCCAGGTAAAAGGTGTCACTCAGCAAAAGCCCAGAAGCCCCGGTGACTCGCAGGCTTCGAGAGGGAGACAGGTACTTGTTCCAGATGGGTTTTCACAGGATAGTTCTGGGACAGCTCCCACCTGGCCCTCTGCATATTTGGATCTGGCTCTGCTACAGTATCTGTGACCTCAGGCAGGGAACAGTTCCTCTGAGTCAGGGTTGCTTCCCTCTTAAAACGAGAGACCTGCAATTGGTGGTCCCCTAGGCATATTCTAGTGTGAAGAGTTTTCCCAGGTTAAGAAGGGAAGCTTCTTGTAAAGCTATGAAGAGGAGGTTTGGATTTGATGTAAGAGACCTTGTGGAAACATTTTGGGTGAGTTGGTCTTGATAGCATGCTAAGCTGGGCTGGGTGGTGGTGACCCAGGGGGATAGAGAAGGACGGGCTGATCCAGGTTGGAACCGCAAGACAACGCTGGCCGGTCAGCCTAGACCAGTAGACCCCTGGTGCTCTCAGCAGAACTGTCGGGATGGGGGAGGTGAGGTACACTCCAGTGTCCTAATAGTCACTGAGGGCTGCTTAATCGGCAGGCGCAACAGTGACTGTAAATTTCGTATTTATGAGAGTAGAGGTAAAATTTAATGAGTTCATTACAAGAGCAGAGGAGGAAAGAGCAAACAGTAACCTTGGGTTGAAGCTAATGATCGGGACAGAGTGAGAGGATGGCTTTGGAAGTCTCGGAGGGAACGGGGCGAGCCGTATCAGTTCTGCGATGGTCTGGGGATGAAGGCAGATCTGCAAAGGCGGCTTTTCAGAGTGGTTTCATTGGCATGCTGGCGTTAAGAGCATGGGAATGCAGAGTTGTGTAAGGACTGCGTGTAGGGACCACGTGACTCCGTGAGCGTGAGCGCTGGTTAGGGAGTGGGGAGGGGAGGTTTTCCTCAGCCGTGAGCACACCGCTGTGTGAGATGAGACGGCCCCACGTGTTTAGGGAGAGTAGGAAGCAGGCAGGCAGGGCTGAAAATGAGTCGAGATGAGGACTCCTGATACTGTTTCTTAACCTCCAGAACAGATAAAGAGCAGGTAAGAGGTTAGTGTACATTCGAGGAAAGGTCTTCGTGCCTGGAAAGAACCAGGGCTGATTGAAAAGGCAGGAATTACAGGAGGCGGAGGTGTGTGCGCTCCGCCTGGGGCATTTGGGGTATTAGCACAGGAACTCGTTAGAGCAATCCTTTCCTAGAGGAAGGAAAGTGACCTGTTGACCGCCACTCGGAGTGAGTGGGAGTGTGCCTCCAGCCCAGACAAGCCCAAGGACCACACTCATCCCAAACTCCAGAACACGTTTTTAACCCCTTATAGATGGTACTCTGGTTGGGAGCAGCTACAATGCTTTCGCTATGTAATCAGGAGCTAGAGAACTAAGAGGGGGCACCTGGAGAATCAGGCCTAAGCACCCTAGGAAAAGCTACCAGGATGGGTTCATGGAGCCCAAGGTTTGAGTCCCACTCACTCCGTCACCTCAGGCAAGTCCGTACCCTCAGCTACCTCTTCTTTTTTAAGACGTGGGATGGGGGTGACGGTGAATGGGCATGACATGGCGTGATGTGGAAGTCGGGATCATTGTGGAACTGGGTTCTTCTTTCCCCGTGTGGGTTCAAGGGATGGAGCATAGGTAGTCAGGCTTGGAGGCAAGCCTGTGTGCCTGCTGAGCCAGGTCGCCGGCCCATAGCTAGTTTCCTAAGCTATGCACAGGGCTGTGAACTCTGAGGGATTTGGAAGTGCTCAGTAAATAAACATATTAAAGAAGACACTGTTTACCAGTACACTTACTGTATTAGCAGATGATTGCTACTTTAAAAATCGGAGCCGGGCGGTGGTGGCACACGCCTTTAATCCCGGCACTGGGGAGGCAGAGCCAGGTGGATCTCTGTGAGCCTGAGCTACCAAGTGAGTTCTAGGAAAGACGCAAAACTACACAGAGAAAACCTGTCTCGAGAAAAAAAAAAAATCGGAATAAAAATCACATCATCTTTAAAGAACAACAACATCAGTTCAGCTGGACAGCATAGTCATTGAGCCTAATGTAATGAGATGGTCTCTGGTTGCAGCTCCCCAATGGACACGTGTAAATTCAGTCACAGCTGACTGGCCCTGTTGCCTCCCACTGGTGTTCCTGTCCTTTCCACCCATCACTGTCCTTTTCTGGTCTCCACACCTGCAGCCACGCATTTCCCAAGTGGAGCCCAGCACCGTTCTGCTTGAGCTTGCTGCAGCCAGGCAGAAGTCCCACTTAACTTTGAAATGCTGTCTGGTCACTCTGTCCTGTGGATGTGCAGGGCTCTGGCCCTGGAACACGCACTGGGGGATCATCTTACCTCACTTCCTGCCTTAACAGCCGTGTTACAGACCCTCTGTCTTCCGGCTCTATTTTGCTTCCCTCCAGGCCATTTTCTGTACTGGACGATACTCTACTCTTTGAAAATCCCCCTTTGAAGGCTCTCGTCCACAGATAACTGCTTAGCTTGTCTCTCCCCCAGTACTGTGGTGTTCTCTCTCTCTCTCTCTCTCTCTCTCTCTCTCTCTCTCTCTCTCT